AGCGACTCAGCGAGTCTACACGTTTTCACCAACTCGCAAGGATTTCCCCTTGACACGTCGAGTACTCCCCTGACTCGACGAGTTCCACCTGGTCATGAATCACGGGGCCACCGCGACTCAACTCGCCGAGTCGCAAGGACAACTCGGTGAGTCCCAACTCGACTCGGTCCACCTGTCAATCCCTCTCTAACTCTCTGTGACTCATTGAGTCACCCATAACTCGGCAAGCTACTCGTCGAGTCTGTTCTTCAGACTTGGCGAGTCCATGCCATGCATCAGCTAAAACTTGCTTCTGCGGTCAGATCCGTTCCATACACACATAGATCTGGCCTTCCCAGGCTCATTTATCACGTAAAGTCTCAGTCTTGGCCGCCATGCAGCACTTACAAGGCTCTTTTTGGGGAAATAACCTCTAATATGGCAACCCTAGTCTCTAACTCAAAAGAATGGACATAAAGCATATCATTTGGGGCCTTCTGGACCTGCTAAGGTCCAGATCTAGGTTCCATATCTCCATGGGACCTTTCACACTTCAAATACAAGTCAAATAAGGCAAGAAGAAACCCTAGATTTGACATATCAACCAAAACACGAAGATTAGCTCTGAAAGTTACCTCAAGAAGCTTCCCTTGATGAAATAGAAGCAGATCCAAGCTCCCCAACTCTTCTATCTTGATCTTCTCCTTCCTTTCTTGCAATAACACACAAATTGGTGAACAAATAGCCTCTTATCTCACTCACAAGGACTCTCAGCTGCTTTGGTGCACTCAAGGCTCAAGGTGGCCGCAATGAAGGGCCATAAGGTCCTTTAAATAGGGCTTAGGACCAGAAAATTAGGGTTTCATTAAACAGCGCGGACTCGCCGAGTCCATCCCTTGGACTCTCCGAGTCGAGACGCGAACCTTCGTCCAAAACCGTGACCCGACTCGGCGAGTTCGACCTCCAACTCGCCGAGTCCCCTCACAAAATACCAAAAATATGAAATTAAAGATACCTGGAAATCCGGGCTGTTACACTTTCAAGTTGGTATGAGTACCTAAACCCTATTTCACCATAATTATCTACAAATATCTTCTTATTAAGAATTGATGTTCTTCTATGATGGATCATTGGATAAGGAAATTACATTTCATTATGGTTCACTTCAGTAAATTTTGTACGATTCTTCTTTGAATTAGGGTTTTTTTCATTGAAAACAATCGATGTCTTTCTATGTATCAACAGAATTGAATCCCTGATGCGGTATAAATATATCATGTAAAACCGTTGAATCCAACTGGGCTTCGACCCGTTTCTCAAGATTTTCCTTGCAAGATGGAGACACGTGTAACACCAAGGCAGTGCAAAGGAGTCTGATAAATAACTTAGTTCCAACAATCCTTTTTCTCTTCGGGAGCAACTCAACAATTTCTTCCAATAATGCCCTTTGATCTTGGCTTTTGCAAGAAAACATTTAAGTTTTAGGGTTTTTTCTCCTCTATTTTCTTAAATCCATTATCTTTCCGTTCATCTTAGTTAAATTTCAAGTAAACATTCGTAAATAAGCATTGGCTAATTTGTCTAGAATTCTCTTACAAAGTATAGGTAATATCCTTCAGCGATTTATGGGCAACTTTGTCATCGTCTTTTTAACCAATTATGACATTCTCTTTGTATGTATCTGTGTATAAAGTAATGCAGATAAATATTCAATCACAAACACCCTCTAAAATTTATATGTTTGAGTTTATGGAAAATTCATGTAAAATAATTTTAATAACATCCTACTTTTCTCGTGTGTATTTTTCATACATTCTCCTTAACAAGACCAATTTTGCTAATACAAACTTGCAATTATTATTTAGTACTAACTATATATACTGGATTTTTCTAAATTACATGCAACAAGTACCAGTTTTGTAAACTATAATTTGTAGGGACCATTCTTGCAAATGTTACCATCCTACTTTCCTTATATGTTGTTTTATATTTAGAAAAGAAATCATTGACAGGGACCATTCTTGCAACTATTATTAAGTACATCTACCATATTTATATATTTTCGGTTTACAATGACCATTTCTGTAAATTGTAATTTATAGGAACCATTCCTATAACTGTTAGCATCATACTTTTATTATATGTTTATTGATGTTGTACTTTGAATCAATTTGGAATATTTATTTAAAAAATATATATCCATTAAAAACACACTCTAATAAAATTAACATGTGTATGTTCTGTTTGAGTTATTTTTAAGTTATTTTTTTGTCATATTTTTTTTTCTTTTTCCTGAAAAATATGCAAAAAAAAATAGCATTCTACTTTCAAAATATATGTAAGTACGATGTTTTCACATTTAAAGGATTTTTGCCGATCAATATACCATTATCTTCCGATTTTAATTTGGTATTAGCATATTAACTATATTATATTTGTGAAATTAGCTAACATCGATTGCCCTTTTCGTCTTTCAGTTAAACTGTGTATTTCCTTCTATGTGTATGTTCTTTTAGTACAATACATCATGTTAGTAAAACCAAATTATTTTTTCCGTTTATCCCCAATATACCCTTATCATTATGCTCATCACTACAATAGATATAATGTTCTATGTAACTGTTCTCTCAGAAGCAGAGAAACAAGGATTTAAGATAACTAATTACATAAAAGGTAACAAGAACTAATTACATACTTTGATCTGCATATTTAAATTGCTAAAAAAAATTCTAAAAAATTAATTTGTTTGCTTTTGGTTAAGCTGCAATAGACAACTAAGAGTGAGTCTTTGACTTTAGAATTTGCTTTTGGTTAATCTGTTTGATGACAACTTTCATGCTTGTATCTACTTTTTTCTAATGACAACTTTCATGCTTGTATCTACTTCTTTTTTCTAGTTCTCAACTCGACATAAATAACATATGACAGTGAACCATGGTGTTATCAAAATGTTAAATTTTGACCAAATGCAAGAGTCAAACTTTTTGAAGGAGAGAGTAGAATTATTGGCATATCGTCCAAATATATCTGGACAGGTAAAATTTTCATACAAAATACAATGTCCTTGAGGGAGGATGAAATGATCATTTTACCCTTTTTCACTTTATATTGTTTTTATGTGTGTCAATCTAGGAGTTGGCTATAACTTCAAATGAGGCTTTGAGCTTGGAAGATCTACTTAAGCGTTTAGTTATACTTGGGGGAGGGTGAGTTTACCATTTTACCATTTTACTCTTTTTATCTGTATTTTTAGTTTCTCAACTTCTTCAGATCAGTAAATCAGTAAATTTTTTGTATATTGAATTGGATCAGGTATATTGCTGTTGAGTTTACTTCAATTTGGCGTGAGATGCGGTCCATTGTGAACAACAATATTGATGTTCATATTTTTTATAAAATTAATATAACATAATTAACAAATATACGTATTAAATTATGATATGTTTAGGTATGTCTAACTTATTTTTAAAACTAGACCGATATTTCCAGTAAAATAAATTAAATAAATAGTAAATATATTATGCAAATATTGTTATTATTGTTATTATATATCATTTAAATTCAAATCCCTTTAAAATCGATATCTAATATCAATATATGTTAATTTGTCAATTTTCCAACTTACTCTAACACAATGATTACACGGAACATACAATCACGAATTTAAATTTTAAATTTCTTAATCATTACCTTTTTTATGGAGGTATCCATAAAAAACATATCTGTTATAAATTGAAGTTCTCATTTTTCCTAAGTGCACGGTTTACTTCTGCAGAAAATTTTGTCTTCAGCCATTCATTTCATCGTGAACAACAAATACGATAATATCAAGGTTAGTTTTTATTTACTCTATAATTTTATATTATGTTCATCTTTTTGTTTCTATGGATTCATCTGCTTTATCATCTGTATCATATTCTGCAGTGACATCAACATTTCAATTAAGAGGCTACCAAACACGACCTAAGTCATAATGGTCGTATATAATTTTCTTTTTCTGCTGTGAGTGGGTTGCAGCCTAAAAATTTTCTCCTACACGCTTCCATAAAGAGTATCACTTATAATCTTTCATTGTGTTAGGGCAACTGCATGTTTTATAAAATTGTGTAAACTTTATAGGTCGGCATTTTTTATAAATGTATTTTTTTTTTTTACAGAAATTGTACCTGCTGCATGTAATTTAGAAAAATTCAGTATATATAGTTAATACTAAATAACAGTTGCAACTTTGTATTGGCAAAATTGAACCCCTTAAGGAGAATATATGAAATATACACACAAAAACAAAGTAGGATATAGTTAGTACTAAATAACAAATGTTTTTTCTTCCCACTCGCTCCCTTGTTGTTGTGTCATCATTTCCGTATATTCAACGAGAATCATACACCAAAAATTAGGATTTTAAAAATCTTCATTTGCAATTAAATACTTACCATTTACTGTGTAATTAAACACTTACAAACCACAAAGTTATTAAAGAATGCAATATTACAATTCCTAAGGTTTATAAATTAATGAAATATTATTTTATTACATAATTAAATTTTAAATTCTATTTAAAATTAACACCCGTAGGTTTCACGGGTTTTAACCTAGTATATATATATATATATATATATATATATATAATATATATATATTATATATATATATATATATTATATATATATATATATATATATATATATATCTTTACTATCTTATAAAACAAATCCTACTATTTCTAAAAATAGATTGAATAAAATAATAATATTTTTTAAGACGTCCAAATCATTAAGCTAATTGTACAAGTAATCACTAATAAAATAATATTAAAATTTAAACAAACTCCTATAAATCTTCTCTTCCAAGGTTTTGACCAGATCTTTTTTCATCAAAATAAATACTCAACACCCGATAATTTGATCATTTCATGAATTTTCTTTATTTTTAATATGACACGTTTCCTAAAACAAACTAATGATTAATTGAAAATAATCATTCTCCATCGAAAACAAATTAATTGTCGAAACAAACTATTTGTCGTCCGCCGCTTTGCGCGGGTAAACGGCTAGTATATATATATATATATTGTATTGGTAGGTATAAGCAACAAGACCAACATACATACATGAAGAAGGCTAAATTGAGATTTTGTTTGACAGCAAAAGATTGAACATTTTGATTTTAGTAGATCACAGAATAGTCAATCCAACCCGTTGTTATGGATCACAAAGAATGCCTTTCTCCTTCTCCTTGAGTAAGGAGTAAGGAATAAGGAGTTGTCGCATCGGGTGAACAGATTGTTACTTACCACGTATATAATATATTATCATATACATTAACTAGTGGTTAAAATGTGGGATAAATTGATCGGTCAATGTTTTAAAATGGTCTGTCTCCCCTTCAAGTAGCTGCACAACCTACATTTACGAACGTTCATACACAAGTTAAATTTACAACAGATTAGAATCGGTAATGAAATGAATCTTATTAATTTCTGACTAATTTTCCTATAACTAATTTATTATATCAAATGTATCATTTTAGCGATACTCTAGTCTATATAGACTATACATTATCTAATTATAATTAATAAATATTTTATTTACATGAAACCAAATAAGATGATGATGAAAAATGTCTCTCTAGTTATTTTCTGTGAATAAAGTTTTAAGGTGTTTAAAATTGTGAAATTTTCAAAAAAAAAAAAAAAAAGATTGGTCTGGTGTTACATTAAAATACTGCAAAAGTTTCATTCCTAAAATGGAAGGAATCAGATTTCATTGGTTTTGGTAAATTTTTAAATTGGATTGAGTGGTAGTAAGATAAGAAACCTCTCCCATGGATGGACGTTTGTCGGGGGTCAACTTTGACACACAGGTAAGCTGTTTTTGCCATGTGGTACAGCTCATACGGATCATATGAATCTCCAAGTCGAGGATCAATCAGATCATGCAAAGCAAGGCTCTCTACTAATGGTTCGGCCTAAGTAAAAAAAAAAAAATTGTAAATAATAATAATAATAATAATGAAATATAACAGTCAGAAACGGAAAAAGACATACATACCCATTGTCTGAGGGATTGATGGTGGTCTTGTGTATCTGAAGTAACAGCTTTTCGTCCCTGATATTATTTGTATAAGAGTAATGCCATATGCATAAACATCTGTTCTCACAGAAACCATTCCGTTCTCTGCATACTCTGGCGCCACATAACTGCAATCCATATACAAACAATTCTTATTTCCTAATTGGATCATACTTGTACAAGATTCTGAATTCTATTAATCATTCAGCTTGCATCTTAATGAATCATATATGACGGATGTTGCATCTTAACAGATTATATATATTTTTCATTCACCATATAGGCTCTCATAAAAAATATATCTTTCTCACCCTAATGTACCCAATATTCTAGTCTGGATAGGAGAACCATTCGTCTTCCACTTTGCAAGCCCAAAATCACCTAACTGCATGGGTACATAAACATATAGCTTGCATTAGGAACCGGAACCAAACAATCTCACGTGAATTTAAATTCTTGTTTACTAAAACTCAATTTCTGCCTGCCAAAACACATAAGCCTAATGCCCTGTAAATACTACTCCTATTATTCTAGCTTGCTAACCTACAAACTTGGTCAACAGCTTGTTATAAAAGATAGACACTAAATAATAATAATAACAACATTAATCCCCCTAATAATGTAAAAACTTATTCTAGGACCTCTTTTTATTTTAAATAATAAACCTCTCCGATAATGCAAGTTCATATTAGAAGTGGAGAGGAAAGTTTGTATAAAATTTCATAATAACAAAATGTCCCTTGTATGTTACCAAATTTTATTTTCTCCTTCCAATTACCAAATATTTACACATCTCCAACTCAACAAGATGAAAAACTGTTGCATTTTTGCAAATATATATCCTGATGAGGGAATAATAATTATGCCTTCCCGTTGCAAATATATATATATATATATATATATATATATATATATATATATATATATATATATATATATATATATATATATATATATATAGACACACACACACACCAATTTAACAGATAAAATAACATGTATGCTATGAACTCAAGGGCAAGATGATATTCAAACAAGAACAAAAAAAAAAAAAAAAAAAAGCTTACTGTATTGATTGAATTACTGAAAGAACAACACAATAAAACCCTAATGATTGCTAGAGCCTAGGCAAAGGTTCAATGACCTGATTCACCAGAAAGATAACCTACCGTCTTTCCCTCTATCTTGAAGAAATTGAAGGCGTTGGTGGAGAATGAAAGTGACAGTCACAGGAACATCAAAGCACTTGGGACAGAAGAGTCGGAGAAATAGTGAGAAGTATGTTGCAAAGAAAGGCACTACCAAATGAATTTTGGGGACAAGCTGTGTTTTGAATATTTGTCCAACAAGAGTCGTGATGCATATGACGTCATTTGAAGCATGGAGAGGAAAAAGACCTGAGGTACACCACAGGTAGTGAGGGTTTGGGGAAGGAGTGAAATTTAGGCAAGCCTTATTATCCATTTATCCTCCCTGCATTTTTGCACTAGGCTGCTTCCAGGACTTGAACTCATGACCTCAAAAGGTGCCAAGGCTACCATTGCATGTAGATGTAGAAAATTTGTTGTGAATAAAAGAATTTGCCCAGATTTGTTTTCTTTCTTGATATAAGGCGGGAGATTTGGAAGCTAGTCGGGTCAGATTAGTTTCCTAAATATCAACCCAAAACTCCTCTCCTACTCTATGAAGAAACCTACTTGAAGAACAACAAATTCATGTTTGGGCCTTGAATGAAAACACATAGATCCCAGGTCCCACATGAGCGGTTTAACTGGATATCAAGTTTGGATCGTGTAGAGTCACTTTTCGAGGTTATATTCATGAAATTTGTTCCATCGAGTATGATATGACAACTTTTGTAAGTTTTATGAGAGACCGAAATGCAGATATAAAATGGATAAGTAACACAAAGGGCAGCTAAAGGCGGTTTTGGAGCTGTTCTGGACAAATACCATCAATATCAGTAAATATTGATCCTCCTCATCAGTAGCTACTATCCTACTTAGTTTTGTTTCAATCAATCTGTGTGTGTCATTAACCCACTACACTTGCAAGTCCAAACATCTGTTTAGAACCCCTGCAAGACCAGATTCCTGTTTGGTGGACTCCAATCACCTAAAATGCCCTACTGACAGTCACTAGAGGGAGGTTGAATAAAGGTCCAGAATTACAATTGAATTAATGACTTGAGAATTCAATCATATAATGACTCTCCAGTCTCCATACTTATGAAACTTACAATACCAAATAAACTCTAGTCTCCACCATCTTGACCAGAATTCTTCTTACTAAATCGGTGTTATTTCCTTATTATCCTATTCGTAATTGGTCCAGTACCAAGTGCCAACTATGCTAAACATATATATATATATATATATATATATATATATATATATCCTGCAATCATGTAATTAATTATAAATAGGAGAGAGCCTGAAGTGAATGAAATTGATGAGCTGCTATCTAAAGTCTTAGACCACGCTTATTACGTAACACAACACAGCAGAATAAGTTATACTGACATGCATTTAATGAGACAAAAACTGCAATTATTTTTCTAACTCGAAAGGTGCTTGTTGCCTTCTTCATCCCCATTCCCCATTCCCCATCACATCATTGAAAACAGCTTATCCAGTTGCATCCCTAAACTTTTACGAGTGAATCCTCCTTGATCGGTTTGTGGTGGGAATGGGATCTTGTTTATTTCTTTTCTATTTTCATCCGCAAAGCAATATAAAAAATAAAACATGAAGAATGCAACAGTGTCATCAAGGTGAAATTACATTACCATTGGCACAAAGTCATGGGTCAGCAATATATTGCTTGGTCGAAGATCCCGATGAATGATAGGACTACTGCGACACTCTTCATGAAGAAATCGCAATCCTTTTGCAGTTCCTATAGCTATTGCATGTCTTTTACGCCATTCAAGGACATTTGCTGCTTCATCTTTCAAATACATTACCCCAACAAAAAAAAAATTAAAAAACATAGAATTACACAAGGGGATAAGGCTAAGTGAAAGAAATAGCAACCCACGTTATTTTTCTGTGTACACCATCATTCTACTTTCAAACGTTTTTCTTATCAAGGTATTGTATTTTGAAATCTACCAAGTACAGCTTTTTCCACTCAATTTGGAAAAAAAAAAAAAAAAACAAAAAACAAAAAAAAAAAAAAAAAAAAAAATCTACCAACCAACACAAAAGCAAGCAAAGTGATGCCAAGGCATAAATCTGAGACCTCTTTTATGGATTCTCGTGTCTTACAACTATGATGCTCATGCGCCACATTTATTTGTATATTATAGCATGCTATTACAACATTTTTCTTATTAAGGCATTCTTTTTGATAAATCTACCTAACTACATCATTGTACTTTCAATCTTTTCTCATTAGGACATCATATTTTGAAAATCCTACATAGTTATAGCAGTGACAATTTCTTTGTATTTGGATGACATTGTTACAACCAGATAGATTTGTCAAAGTACAAAGTTTTATAGATAGAATTAAAGTAGGATGCTATAACAAACAGAACAATGGAAGTGTGTTGCTATTAACCCACAGAAATATGCTAAAGGGAAACGTTTTTGGTAGATATATTCTATTAACAAAAAGGTAAAATATGATTCATGTATGAATAGTACTGCAAAAAATAATCCAATGAGTTGCTTACCAAAGAGATGCCATTCTAGTGATCTATTGCAGATATATTCATAAACCAATATATTAATGTTTTCCTTGCAGCAATAACCCAACAGCATGACGATGTTTCTATGGCGTGCAAAACTCAAAACATAAATTTCAGAAGAGAATTCTTCAAATCCTTGTGTGCTTGCTTGTTTCCGTACCTTAGCAGCAATGATTTGGCCATCATTGAGCTGACCCTTGTAAACTAGACCATAACCTCCTTCACCTAACAAGTTTTCCTCTGAAAAATAATTTGTCGCAAGATGTATTTCTGAGTAACTGAATCTCATGGACTCCTTGATATACAATTCTGTTGTCATCCCACAAGCATTGCACAGAACAGGTGTACCAGAGGATCTCTTTCGCCGAGGACTTTTTCGTAAATTTCCAACGACCGATGAATTGGTACGATTCTTACCAACGCAAGAGAGGCTGCCTGCTTAAGAAGGAACCGTTTAATAACTGCCTTGCCAACAACCATTACAAGTAAACCATGAGCCGAAATAAAAAATTTAAAATTAAAAAAATGCCAATACCAATATAGATCACATTACATTCTTTAGGGGAAAAGACCGAAAATGTATTACTATTAGTATGTGTATATTTTGTAGCTACTGCATGACCAGATTGAAAGCATGGAGTTCACTCACAATGAGAGGGTAACGAATTCCTACTGACCAAGTTCAAACAATTTCTATAAAATGCCATCATTTCATGGTTGCATGCTTACTACCATATCATATGTTCCTCTAATTCTCTTAAAACCATCTTCCTTGGTAAGGATCTGAAACTTAATGGTGTGTAAATGGAACTCTAGTTTCTACCAAACAAAAACCAATTGTCATGTGAAATAGCCAAACATTCTGGCATTCTGCTATGTAAAATCTCATCCCACAACACTCAATTTATTTATGAAAGCAATCATCTCCAGAATTGCTCAATTCTCATATTATGTTTGGACAGACAGCAGTGGCCAACAAATCCCTTGCGGCTGAGCTCATTAAAACATTCACTATTTATGAGGACACGAACCAATGCAATCAGGGAAATAGAGTGGTCTTGGCACAGATGTAACACTATATATATATATATATATATATATATATATATATATATATATATATATATATATATATATAATATATATAATTAGTGTAATGTTTAAGATTAAACCATTGCACGAAATAAACAAGTGAAAATAGGGTAAATATTTAATTAAGGTTAAACAGGGGATTTCCAGCCATATGGCATTAGGGGGGAAACGGTGGCGGGAGCAGGGGTGATATTGGAATTCAGGTGCGGGGACGGGGGAGGCATGATGGACATCCGAGAAACTGATAGAATTAGTGACGGCTTATTAGGTCTTGAATATTAAATGTGCAAAATCTAGATTCAAGCAAGCAGCTCACGTGCTTGCCACTACCCTTGCTTTAGTTTATGTTTATCGTATTTTGTCTAGTATTTTCTCTTTGTTGAATTAGTCTAGATAGTGGGCAGTTGTCCAGTTGTACTTTCCTGTCTTCTAGATAGTGGTGGTGTAGTAGCAGTTTCCTTTTTCAGTTTTGCCTTACATAGCTTCCTTTGTAGTCCATTATTTTCAAGTTGTGTACTAGGAAGATTGTCTTCTTCTTCATTGCTTTGCTGTATTCCCCAGTTGTGTACTAGGAAGATTGTCTTTATCAGGTCAACAAAGTGGTATCAGAGCCTGCGTATCAATGGCTGAACTTCAAGTCGTTGGTGGTGTTAAGAAGCTTAACAATCAGAACTATAACACATGGTCTACTTGCATCACGTCATACATGCAAGGGCAAAACCTGTGGGAAGTAGTGAATGGGGCTGAAACTAAGCAACCCGAGGCATAAGACAATAACGGGATCTTACGTAAGTGGAAGATCAAGGCTGGCAAAGCTATGTTTGTTTTAAAAACAACCGTTGATACTTGAGCATATCAGAGATGCGTCAAACCCAAAGGAAGCATGGGATATCTTATCAGCCCTGTTCTCAAAGAAGAATGATACTAAGTTGCAACTTCTTGAAGATGAACTCCTATCTGTTTCCCAGAAAGACATGATAATCCCACAATATTTTCACAAGGTTAAAGCTACATGCAGAGAAATTGTGGAACTTGATCCAGACTCTCAGATCGGTGAAGCAAGGATGAAAAGAATAATCATCCATGGACTAAAACCGGAATTCAGAAGTTTTGTAGCAACAATTCAAGGTTGGGGCAACTTAACCTTCCCTTGTTGAATTCGAAAATCTCTTGGCTGGACGGGAAGCTTTAACGAAACAGATGAGAGGGGTAACTATCAAGGATGATGGAGAAGCTTTGTATGCAGAGAAAGCTAAAGGAAAACAAAAAGTCTTCAGGAAATCACCAGTACAGAAAAGATACAGCCAAAAAATAAGAATCAAGAAAAAGAAAAGAAGACTTAAAAGCATGAGAACGGATAGTCATGAAGAAAGATCAAAGAACCATCGTCATAATAAACGATTTCCTTACAAATGTTACAACCATGGTCAAAAAGGCTATATGGCACGTAACTGTAGATTTGAGAAAGTGGAAGAATGGAATGCTACAACATCACAGGAGGAAGAGTTGTGGGACGCAGAAGTGATGTGTGCGCAAGTAGAAGATGTTGATGATGCACCAGCACTTACAGCAACCACTGAGAACAATCGAAACCGTTTTGATGAATGGATTGTCGATTCGGGCTGTTCTAATCATATGACTGGGGAACATGAGAAGCTTCAAGGTTCAATGAGTTATGGTGGTAGCAAGGTAGTTGTAATTGCTGATAATTCCAAACTTTCAATTGCACATGTTGGACAAGTGGTGTTCTGTCCAGAAGATAACAACAAAAATCTAACACTCGAGAATGTGTACCATGTCCCAGGTATGAAGAAGAAACTCCTTTCAGTCTCGCAGTTAGCTTCTACCGGCCATTATGTGTTATTTGGACCAGATGATGTAAAGATTTTTTAAAGAATTTGAGACCCCCTCGAAACCCATTTTGAAAGATAGAAGATCAGATTCTATCTATGTAATGTCAGCAGAAACAGCTTATGTAGAGAAAACGAAAAGAAATCAAAATGTAGACTTGTGGCATATGCGGTTAAGCCATGTGAGTTGTGATAAGCTTGAACTCATGATGAAGAAACAGATGGTTAAGGGCCTTCCAAAACTTGAAGTCAGAAAAGATGTTGTATGTGCCGGATGTCAATTCGGAAAAGCTCATCAGCAACCATTTGGTAGATCAGAGTACAAGTCTCGAGCACCATTAGAACTTGTACACTCCGATATGTTTGTACACTCCGATGTGTTTGGACCAGTCAAGAAACCTTCTGTCAAAGGTATGAAGTACATGGTAACCTTCATAGATGATTTTTCAAGGTATGTTTAGGTGTATTTCATGGCTAAAAAGTCTAAAATATTTGCCAAGTTCAAGGAATTTAAAGTGGAAGCTGAAAGAGAAACAAAACACAAAATCAATTGGATCCAGTCTGATAATGGAGGGGAGTATCTCGCAACAAAATTCAATGAGTACTTGAAAACAAATAAGATCAAACGACAGCCGACTTGTCCAAATACCCCACAACAAAATGGGGTGTCTGAAAGAAAGAATAGACACTTGGGTGAGATTTGTAAAAGTATAATGCATGATGGCAGAAGCAATGAAAACAACTGCCTATGTGATTAATAGGATTCCACAACAAATTCTTGATTATGTGTCACTGTTTGAAAAGCTCTTGGAGATCAAGCCCAATGTGAGTCACCTACGTGTATTTGGTTGACTATGTTATGTGGTCATACCTAACCACTTACGAAGTAAAAAGGAAAAGAAAGTTGTTCGATGCTTATTTGTGGGGTATGATCAAGAGAGAAAGGGTTGGAGGTGCTGTGATCCTAACTCTGGAAGGTGCTAAGTTTCAAGGAATGTGATTTTTTATGAGAATTCCTCATGGTGGTCAAAAAAGCATGAGGTTCTTTCTGATTCTAAACTTCTTAAAGAAGAGATGGAATCAAACGTGAGACTAGATGTGGAAGAGAGTGATATAGTGATTGATAATGATGAGGTTCATACTCAAGGTCAATCACTCTGGAACAGTCCAATGGAGTTGTTAATGATGATAACAACAACGAAACTCAAAATCCCAGAAGATCATCAAGAATCAGGAAACCAAATCCTCGTTATGCCAATGCTGCAATAGTTGAAGAAGTAGAAACTGAACCAGACATGTATGATCAAACTGCAACCAAACAAGAGTGGGTTTTGGCAATGAAGGAAGAATTTGATGCCCTGATTAGGAACCAAACGTGGGATTTAGTTCCAAAGCCAGATGATGTGAAACCAGTTTCATGCAAGTGGGTATTTAAGATAAAACGTAAACATGGGTCAATAGGAAGGTATAAGGCACATTTGGTAGCCCGTGGTTTCTCACAACAATATGGGCTGGATCATAGTCACAGAAATCGCTTGGTGAAGCACGATCTGCGATCCAGTTCGTTCGTACCAAAACGCGGTACGAACGTGTACCAGGAACGCTCCGGGTCGCGACTCAATACCAGAAATTGGCGATCCAAATCTTCAATTCAAACGTATCAGAGGCTATAGAGATCGCGATTTGCCTGATTACAATACGCGTCTGCAGTCAATTGGATTCATCGGTTGGAATTTGAATAGTCGATCGACTTCACGAACGATTTTTTGTAACTGAACAATTAAGTAGCGACTCTTCAAAATTGAATTCACATTCTGTAATTAGGCCTATATTAGACTTCTATTCCATCATATTTTTTCATTCAATTGTATTCTAGAACATCTAATTTCAGATTTTATAGTTTGGTACTTTGGTTATTGATATTCTTGAATAGCGATTACCGATTATAGTTATACTATTATAGTAACAGTAGAGAATATTGTATCATGGTTTTTGGAAAGAAAAGAGGAACTAATAGCTATGAGGAAGATGATGGAGGACAGCAATCACAGTCACAGCAATACCTAGAGGAAGAAGATCATTATGTTGATCTTGGCAATGAAGAAGAAGACAACGGGAATCAACAATCAGAAGCGCATACAAGCAGTGGGATGAGTCAAGGTACACAGCCAAAAACACAAAGTGTAGATGCTAAACCTTTATATGATATAGTTACTTTTATTAGTGCTGGTAGTAGTAAAAATCCTGGTGGTTCAAAAAAATGGGTTTGTAAACATTGTCATGGAACATTTACTAGCTCGTATACCCGTATTTATACTCATTTTTTTGGTGCTCAACTCGGAAAAAAAGCTGAAATTAAAAGGTGTCCTGTTGTACTAAAAGACCAAGAAACTTACGAAAGGTTGCAAAAAAAGGTGAAAGAGGCTGAAAAGTTCGGAGTCTCTAAATCCCTAAGAAGTTCTGTTTTAACAAAAAAACCAACTTTGAGCTCTAAGAAACCGATAGAGCAATCTTTTGCAATAATGGAGAGAAGTGCAGTTGATTTGAAAATTGTGAGGGCCTTATGTGCTAATGGGATTCCATTTAATGTTTTGCGGAATCCTCAATTTCGTGACATGGTAAACGCATTAAGAAAGGCACCCCAAGGTTATAAAGCGCCATCAAGTGAGAAAGCAAGAACTGTTTTACTAGACGAATGTGTTAGAGATGTTGAGAAAGACCTGATACCGTTTAAAGAAACATGGTATTCACACGCTATTTCTATTGTGTCTAATGGATGGTCAAACGTAAAACATAAACCATTGCTCAATGTGCTTGCTGTAAACAGTCGAGGTTCCATGTTTATGTATGCCACTGACTTTTCTGGAGTGGAGAAAACAGGTAAAGCAATTGCTCAATTTCTAAGCCAAGCGATTGATTCTGTCGGGCCAAGCAATGTTCTCAGTGTTGTGACGGACAATGCCGCCAATTGTAAAGCTACTGGAAAGGAAGTGGAAAAGATGTACAAACATATTTTCTAGTCGCCATGTTGTGTTCATACCTTAAACCTGGTTTTTAAAGATTTTGCAAGCAATTTTCTTTGGTTACATGACACATATAAAAAGGGGAAAGCGATTGTCAAGTTTTTTCTGAATCATGGACAAGCTTTGTCCATTTTTAGGGAGACTTCAAAGTTGGAGCTTTTAAAGGTTGCAAAAACCCGATTTGCTTCTCACTACGTTTTGTTGAAGAGGTTATTCATTTGTAGAGAGGCATTATCTACAACAATTGCTCGTAATTCGTGGAGAGATTGGGTGAAACACATCGATGAACACACTAGAACAACTGGACAACTTATTGCTAATGATATAAGAGATGATAACTTTTGGGTCGAAGTTGAAAATATTTTACGTATCACGAAGCCAATTTATCGGTTGATCAAATTTTGCGACGGTGAAGGCCCGAAAATGGGCGAAATTTATGAAAAGATGGATAATATGTTGGGGGAAATACAAGATGTGATGGAGGAAAGTATGTATGCATCGTATTTCCCTCAAGTGCAACAAATTGTATTGAACAGGTGGGAGAAAATGAGCATCCCGTTACACTGTTTAGGATTCGCTTTAACTCCACGGTTTTACGATAGCCGCTATCTTGAAACATTAGCACCGGGTGGAATTCGTAGAAAGGCGCCAAATCTTGATAAAGAAGTTATACAAGGTGTAATGGAAGCATTTAATCGCATTTCTGAAAACAGAGACGAAGAACGATTGTTGCGAGAACAATTTGCCACGTTTAACATGAAGAAGGGTCTTTATTCACTGTCGGCGGCTCAAATGGATGCGGTTTCTATGGAAGCAATTGACTGGTGGTCTACTTATGGCGCGGAAACACCGGAGTTAGCTGATGTGGCAAAAAAAGTATTGTCACAGCCTATAAGTAGCTCTTCAGCCGAAAGAAACTGGAGCACTTATTCCTATATTCACAGTGTGAAGAGAAACCGGCTAAGCTGTAAAACGGCTGACAAACTTGTTTTTGTACATTCAAATATTCGTTTGTGTTCAAGGTTTACCGAAGAATATAAAGAAGGGCCACACAAAAAGTGGGATATGGATCCCGAATCTACGGAATTGGAAGGATCAAGGCTAAAAGACATAGAATGGGAAGATCTCGAGGAAGACGAAGATAATGGCAATGGAAAAAAACAAAGGGTGGAGTAGTGGATTAAGTTACATGTTTGAGTTTTATGTTTTAAGTTTATGTATTTTGTTTTTACTTTTGATGTAATCTGTTTTGAACTTTTAATGTTTGTTTGATCGCAAGTTTTAAGTTTATCTAATATGTTTTGAAATTTGGTACAATATTTGGTACATCATACCGGAGCGTCCCGAAGCGTACCGAAATGAGTCTACCCCCCTTCGTACCGAATTTCAGTGACATACCGAATTGCGTACCGCGTACCCGTACCCGTACCAAAGCGTACCGCGAATTATGTGACTATGGGCTGGATTATGAGGACACGTTTAGCCCCAGTGGCTAAGATAACTACAGTTAGGGTTTTGTTAGCTTTGGCGGCAAGTAAAAGATGGAATCTATGGCAAATGGACGTGAGCAACGCTTTTCTGTATGGAGACTTAGACCATGTGATTCATATGGATCAACCCCATGATTTTGAGAGTAAAAGTCATCAACGTTTCTTTACGCTTTCTAGAATGTATCCTTGAGGGAGAGTCGGAGAGGTATTTACATCCTTACAAGTAGTGCTTTGTTGCTGCCTCGAGAACTTGCACATATTGACCACTTCACTCTACAACCAATAAGGCTAGTAGACCATATTAAGAAATTGCAAGGCTTTTGCCATTAACCAACAAATTTCAAGCCTCTCAAGAATATATATATATATATATATATATATATATATATATATATATATATATATATATATATATATATATATATATATATATATATATATATATATATATGCATGCAATTCAAGAGATAATATATAATACTCCATCTCTAGATGCAATGACTATAAGTACTGTGGATAAAAATTTCCCAAAAGTAAAATTTAGTTGGCTACACGCAAACCAGTAAGACCAGAATCTCAAATATCAACACAACTATAATTGTAAAAAAAGGGTATATGCTACAACTAGGAAGCCCCCCCTCAATAGTCACACAGCCAACACATGTTCACCTCACTTATGTACTCGCCTCCTTACCACTAGGGAAAGCATGCATAAACCACAACTAAAAACGTTTTTTTTTTAAGAAAAAGAAAAGGCATACAAACAGCAAGGAAGCATGGATGATGTCAAGTTTGAATCTGAGACATCCGTTGTTTTCCTTGCTGCAAGGGCAAGCATGCGGGGACCACAAGTATGATTGTATGTACAAAAAAGAGTAATTTAAACTTCCTGACCTGATACATCTTGCTTTGATGCAGCATCTACATCATCAGTTAATATGGAAGGTTTGTGCATTAATGAAGACAGAGGTTTCTTTGAAGGCATTTCAAGGTTTTCATAGGAAGTATGAGAAATAACTGACTGGTCAACATTATTGTGATCCTGTGGAGATGGAGCTGATAGCTGCACATGCTTTGACCTGTAAAGAACCACTTTGACTTCTGTGTTATCGGTGTCACTAATGGGCTCGGTTTTTAAAGGCTTTATGGTCAAGTTATCTACAACTGATGCAAGCTTGCAAAGGATTTGACCTTGGTAAAACTTCACATCCTTTTTCAGGTGCCTGTAAAGCATAAGCTAAAATTGATGACAATATGCACAAAAAGATATCAGTAATAAATTACATATATAAGGTCAAAGCATTCGGGAAATAGGGATAGGGACAGTAATTAGATATGAGAAGGTTCCGTATTAATATTATTTGACTTTTAAATAGCAATAGCAGTATGAGTTTGGAAGAATGGCTGTTTTTCCAGCTTGTCAAATCTTTTGTGGCAAAAAATATTTTCATCTTCAAAGAATGTCAAATGCAAGCTTGTTGACAGGACAAGAGTCAAGAGTCAAGACAAAACATAAGAGAAGAGGGCAAAAAGCTTGTGAATATGCCCTCATCCTCAAAAAAGATCAAACTTCAAAAGTAAAGTAGCCCTGTTCAATCCCATCCCATTTGATTTTGAATTTTCCTGTTTCATCATATCTATATCTATATATATCTAGCACATGAATTCAATTTAAAGCCTACCTATCAAGGACAACCCATGTTGCATTACAAGCTGAAGCCTCCTGTTGAATAATCTTCTTAATAGGAGTTCCACAAGTAATCTTCACTTCTATGTCAACCTAAATCACACATGGACAAGTCATTCTTTCATCAACTGAAGACACACATAAACTGATAAAACTAAAACTAATACATAAATACTATGTTAAGCAAGCTCTTTGAACTAGAGAAGAGAACAAGTTACTATCCTTATGCGGTCTTTGAATGCAAGAGACATAACATTGTCATAGTAAGAATTAAGAAAACACCAACTTTTCATTAAATACTAATAATATCTCAGATAATAAACAACATTCATCATTACCCCTTCTTCTTTGCAATCTTCGGCACTTGTTTGTAGCATTTTTGCATACATATCAAGTTTTAATTGAATTTCTTCTTCCATGGCTCTGATGTTCACTCTCTCTATCTGCATTTGGTAACCAACTGAGCAAGAAACATGAATAGTTTAGCAATGCAGGACATATGGGTGTATATATTATTTTGAGGTGACTAAGATGAATATGTCCATCACTTGTAGTGTTACGTAACCTATTGAGGATTGACGAAAATAAATAATAATGTCAATGTGTAAGTTTGTTGAACATTTCAATTTTCAAAAAGCTTCTCATGAAATCCAACTTGGAACTTTTGGATACATAAAAGTACCAAGTCTATATATATATATATATATATATATATATATATATATATATATATATATATATATATATATATATATATATATATATATATATATATATATATATATATATGCATCCAGAAACTATTCCATTTGTGTCTACTAATTAGGTAAAATTAGTGTTGCATATATATATATATATATATATATATATATATATATATATATATATATATATATGCATCCAGAAACTATTCCATTTGTGTCTACTAATTAGGTAAAATTAGTGTTGCATATATATATATGCATCCAGAAACTATTCCATTTGTGTCTACTAATTAGGTAAAATTAGTGTTGCATATATATATATATATATATATATATATATATATATATATATATATATATATATATATATATATATATATATATATATATATATATACATATATATATATATATATATATATATATATATATATATATATGCATCCAGAAACTATTCCATTTGTGTCTACTAATTAGGTAAAATTAGTGTTGCATTCCGGAAGAACTACTTTTTCTGCACCAGCAACCTAATTCTCTTTTTCTACCAAAACCACCTACCTCTCTGGTTAAACCGATAAAATGGGATTTTTAAGTTGATGGTAAATAGCACTATGGTGCTTGTTATCGTGTTTAATGAGTATAGAAGCTAATATTATATTTGTATATATGGGTGTTCCTCTATTGACTTACTGTATAAAAGAGAATTAAGTCGTAATATATTTTTCCCTTCCATTTCCACATCAAATATTTTTTTTAAACACACAGCAATTAATGAGAAAAAGAAGAAAGAGGGCGGGCTATAGGTCGAATTCTTATCCACACAAAAAAGAGCCATGCTATAAAAAAAATAATAATAATAAAAATAAAAAATAAAAAATCAAAGATAGTTGAATAACAAGGTTTCTTACACTACAGTAGCTATCACCTCATTATCCAAATCTAAATATTTGCCTACTTTTGCAACTTATTCAAAAAGTATCAACATATAAAGGGGTGTCTGTCAGAGGAATTATAACAAACACTTACAGGGATGGGAGACCTTATGCAGAACACCAAACACCACAATGGTATCTCCCCTCTTAATCACGTCACCTCGGGATATAATGTCATCTATAACATTCTTAAACTCCAGCTCATTTCGATCTTTTGTGGCATCAAAAGCCAAAAGCACACGACCCGTCATCAAAGAGTTATTGTCTCCCATTCTCACAGCAACAATCGTTTCACAAAACAACCCCCGAAGGGAGCATATATATAGGTCTTATGATTCAAGTCTCTTCGCCCAGTCGTATTCTTGGAAGAGGAAAACCAAATTTCCCCCAAATAAAACTCATATATCTGTACAAAAGGGCAAAAACCATTGTAAACCTGAAACAGAACATTCCCGGTATATTTTCTGGTGCTAAGCATATTCGAACGAATCAGCGTAAAGATACTGCCGCCCAAAAATCGATGTTAGCAATGCATTTGATGACGACAACTGGAAAATGTTCTTCCGTATCTTGGATTGTTTCACAGAAATTAGAATGAAACAGGGGTGGCGGAGATTGGAGAACCCTAGAAACTCAAATCTCACTGGCTAACTGCACTGCTGGGATTGTAGTGAATTTTTAAATACTTTGTACTTGGACTTCTGTGTTTATGTTTCCTTCGAATCCGAGCATATTCCCTTTTGATCGACGAATTTTAGTACCATCGATGGCCTGCTATTAATCCGACAATCCAGGATTATGGTCCTGACAAGCAAGAGCGTTGAGCTGGCGTTAAAAAGGCCGGAAATGGACATGTCATTCAAAATTCATAAAATAAAATAAAATAAAAAGAAAACGAAAACGTGTTTGGGAAAGCTTTTATAATTTAAGAAAGGGATATATACAGTAAAGTTCCAATATTTTTATCGATTTGATAAGAAAATCTTAAACTTTATTTTTTTTACAGTAAAGTCCAAATTACCGGTACTTTTTGACACTTTTACCCTTTTTTCCCGGTTAGCCGGTAATTAGAATTTTTTTGTCAACAAAATAAAGTTTAGGACTTTCTTGTCAAATCGTCAATTAGGACTTTACTGTCAAAAAAATAAAGTTTAGGACTTTTTTGTCAAATCGTTGAAAATATTAGGACTTTAGTGTATATATATATTTTTTTGGTTAGAAATTTAATGGTATGATACTCTTTAAGCATAAGAGTTATTAAAATATTCTCTAATAAGTTAGATCCTATTGAAATCTTTTACGTTTGCTTCTTGTTAAATCGTTTTTTTAATCTCAACAAACCGACATTGAAAAAAATTGAGATAATCAAGAAAGAAAGAAATAACCAGGATTGTGTTGGCTTTTTTCCAGTCTAAAAAATGGAGAAATTAGAAACCTAAAAAGACGAAAGTGTCCTGGCTTTATACAAACACAAACAATACATGCCTAGTCACACCCTTTTGACTAGGCATGTGTTGTTTGTGTTTGTATAAAGCCAGGACACTTTCGTCTTTTTAGGTTTCTAATTTCTCCATTTTTGAGACTGGAAAAAAGCCAACACAATCCTGGTTATTTCTTTCTTTCTTGATTATCTCAATTTTTTTCAATGTCAGTTTGTTGAGATTAAAAAAACGATTTAACAAGAAGCAAACGTAAAAGATTTCAATAGGATCTAACTTATTAGAGAATGTTTCAATAACTCTTATGCTTAAAGAGTATCATACCATTAAATTTCTAACCAAAAAAAGTATATATACACTAAAGTCCTAATATTTTCAACGATTTGACAAAAAAATCCTAAACTTTATGTTTTTGACAGTAAAGTCTTAATTGACGATTTGACAAGAAAGTCCTAAACTTTATTTTGTTGACAAAAAAGTCCTAATTACCGGCTAACCGGGAAAAAAGGGTAAAAGTGTCAAAAACTGCCGGTAATTTGGACTTTACTGTCAAAAAAATAAAGTTTAGGACTTTCTTGTCAAATCGATGAAAATATTGGGACTTTACTGTATATATCCCTTTAAGAAATAACAAAATCTATAAGTAATTTTCTTCTAACTTATTTGCTTATAAGTTATAAGCCATAACTTTAAAAGTAGTTCCGAAAAGTCACAAGCTTAGTCAAACATCCCTTAAATTTTTAAGTTGTAAGTGTGGTTCTTAATTTTCTTTTGCATTCGGATGGTCACGGTGATTTGATTTTATTGCGTTTTTCGTCCTTCGTAGATATAAAAAGACTATATTACCCTTATATTTCGTCCTTCGTAGACATAAAAAGACTATATTACCCTTATATATATAAGGGTAATATAGTCTTTTTATGTCTACGAAGGACGAAAAACGCAATAAAATCAAATCACCGTGACCATCTGAATGCAAAAGAAAATTAAGAACCACACTTACAATTTTAACCAAACCATAATAAGTAAATTCCTCAAAAAGATTACAATATATATATATATATATATATATATATATATATATACATATATATATATATATATATATATATATATATATATATATATATTAGTTTTTTAATTAGATTAGTTATTAATTAAAGAAAATTAATTGAGTAATTTATTAGACATCTCACCACTACCGCCACCAATCACCGAAAACCACCACTACCATCGGTCACCGGAAATTACCATTACCACCACTAACACCAACAGTCATCACCAACCACCACCATCCACCACTAAGAACTTGAAGTCATATCCGGAAAACCCCTCAGGCAAACCTCAAATGAAATCCTCCACCACACTAACTTGAGAATCTGAAATAAATTCCACAACACCCACAAGCATATCTGAAAAGGGAAGAAATGAGAAAAAAAAAAAAGGAAAAAAGAAGATCCAAAGATAGAGAAGACAATGTCTAATTGTCTCATCCTCCAGTGACAATTGATGGTGTTCAATGGTTGTAATGATGTATGTTTTCGGTGACATTTCCGGCGACAGAGTCGAAGTACAGAGAAGTGCAATAGGAAAGAGAGATGGCGGAGAAGATAGACCAATAAGAAGGGTGTTTCTGGTGAAGACAACCCTAAGAGAAGTGGAAAAGAAGAGAGATCTCGATCAAGATATTGTTTCAGGGTGGCAGTTAGGCAGGATATAGAGATTGGGCAAATCCAGATCTTAAGGTTGAATCACCACCACCGCTCCTTCGCTGGTTCTGGATCTTGAGGTTGAATCACCATGGTGATCCGGTGGGTTTTATGATAAGGAAACGCATTTCCGGCAGCTGGAAGAAAAAGAGATCGATTAGATCTTATGCTTGAATGTAACATCCAAAATTTTAAGCCAAAATTTTCATTTTTAATTAACTAAAACATTGTTTATAAAAACCCGTCTCAATAAAATCTCAAGTATCAAATACAAATCATCATAATAATATCAAAGTGTCCCAAAATATCATGAATTAGAAACTGCAGACGAATGTGTACAATCAAACATTCACCTTCCTACGATCATCAGAAGTACCTGAAACAGGTTTAATCAACAACTGTAAGAACGAAGCTTAGTGGGTTACCTAAAGTATCACGTACAACACAACACAAATAAACAGTTATGGCCTATCAACAACCTTGGAGACTACCCGAAGTCTCAATAGGCAAACAGTATGCCTTGTAGATTATCAGCAATCCTGGAGATTATCCGAAGTCTCAGCACATACAGTAACACATATCACAGTAACAAAAAATAGACCCAGCTGGTCAATATATATATTCTACTACATAGGTAGGAATAGTGAGTAGACTCACCTTGCACAGATGAGTGATAGAACTCACACCCAAACTGCCAAAACTAGAGTTCGCTTATTAACTACACCAAATAACCCTAATCAACAATTAAGGTAATTTTTCATACTCAACTAATCCCAAGCCAAGTCTAATCCACAATTTGGGCAAAATACCATTTTGCCCCTTCAAATACCAAAACCTAAGACTTGACCAAAAAGGCACACTTAGCAAAAAGTTAAAGAAAGTAAAAGGAAACACGTTGACCTTATGCGCGGTGTACTCAGCTCTACATTGGGCATAGAGCACAACATCATAAAGGCGGGCTCCCAGTTGACTACATTGGGCGTAGCCAAATTTACGCTTAGCGTACTAGGCCTAAACTCAAATCTCATCTTTTAAGCTCTTAATTGTTAAGACACTTTACCTCAACCTCAAATGTGACCCTAAAAGACATTCTAATCCTTAAAGTTTCTAACTTTATGTCTTTGCATGGCTAAAGAGAGCTAAAACCCAAAACCCTAACTTCTAACATCACCAACAACTCTATAACGCATGCATAGATGAAAGGAAAGCACCAAGCTTGCATTTTTATAACACCATGCACTCTAAAACATCTTAAAGGATAGCTTAAATGGTCTGGAGTAGTCCATACTCACAAAGACTAAGGTTTTGGGACAAAATGAACATAAACTTAAGCTTAGACAAGATCTGGCAAAGAAAGCCTCAAAGTATAAACTTTATACCTTCTTAAGATTAATAATGAGATGTAGATTCTGGATCCAAAAGCTTGAGTGCACCACCACTTCTTTAATGATCTTCCTTCACCACCAAGAACACTAAAATCACACAAAGGCTTCAAAACTTACTCACAAAGGCTAGGGTTTCAATATTACGGTTAAGAGGAATGGAGGTTGGTCATAAAAAGGTTTAGGAGGGGAATAAGATTCTTAAATAAGGGATACAACCCTAAAAATATAGGGTTTAGAAGCAGCACAAGTACACCCAGTGTACTCACATGTACACCTAGCGTACTCAACCTCCGTCGCGATCCTTTTTGTTGACTTACACCCGGCGTACAATCCATGTATGCCCAATGTAAGAGATTATTTTTCAAACAATTAACATTTTAAAGGTCGAAAATGGAAATACATGGCAATGAGTGTTACAATTCTCCCCTACTAGAATCAGACTTCACCCTCGAATTCAGCCGTTGCGAAAAGATTAGGGTAGTGCTAATACATCTCATTCTTGGGCTTCGAAGTCCACTTAGAGCCTTTCTGATGGCCTCTGAACTTTGACCAAGCTCACCACCTTGTTCCTCAAGGTCTTCACCTTCCTATCCAAAATTATCACCGGTCTCTTAATGTAATTCATGCGACTATTGACCTGAATGCCGTCCAAAGGAACCACAGTTTTCTTATCAGCCACACACTTCCTCAACTAGGAAACTTGGAAGGTGTCATGAATCTAACTCAACTTCTCGGGAAGCTCTAACCGGTATGCCACATTGTTCACTCGGGTTACTAATCTGAAAGGGCCAATAAATGTGGGGCCCAGCTTGCCCCGCTTCCTGAATAGGATAACACATTTCCAAGGTGATGCCTTCAAGAGCACCAAATATCCAACCTAAAACTCCAACTTCGAGCATTGTCGATCTGCGTAACTCTTCTAGTGGCTCTGGGCCGTGAGCAACCTTTGTGACCTCCTGGATAAGCTTTGTCGTCTTGAGTACTATCTCAGTGCTCCCCATGACTCTTTGTCTAACCTCTTCCCAACAGATAAGAGTCTAACACTTCTTCTCATATAGGATCTCGAAGGGAGGCATGCAAATATTGGCATGATGGTTGTTGTTATATGAAAACTCAACCAAAGGAAGGTAGGAGTCCTAGCTCCCACCGAAATAAATGATGCGAACTCTGAACATCCCTCGAGCGTCTAAATAGTCTACTCGCTATGTCGGTCTGTCTGCGGATGGTAAGAGATAACGAAATGAAATCAGGTACCTAACTCCTC